ATTTGATGTGTATATTTGGTATCAGAGCCATGATGGCTTAATTTCTTATTGTTAATGCTTTTTAGGTTCTGGTAGCATGATTATTATCGTAATTATGTAATGAACAATATGAATATTATTCTGTCTAAATTATGTTTATCCCAGATTCAATTATGGGTCGTCCAAAAGTCGCGTTGGAATGTTTAACCCGTTTTTGCATTAGATTGCTGCACAGGGTATTGTTTCCAGTAAATCGTTGACAGACGAGTAATAGAATCTCTCTTAAGCAGAAAGACGACAGAATAGTAACTTACTGTTCACTATATAATATTATAATATTTATACTATGCAGACCTTAAAGCATTAACAATAATTAACAGACATGTTACAACCATCTTCTTCCTCCTCTTCAGGAATACAGGAAAACCAGGATTCAGAACTGGTAAAAAATACGGAAGTAGTGGAATGGACCAATGTTCAAAATAAATTGAACAGATGGACGATCCCTCCAGTAAGTGCAAAAAGCATTTACAAAATCGGAATGCTTAATTTAACTGATCTATGGACTATCAAGACCATGGAACAGACCATGCAATTAAGCACTAAGGATACAATAATTAAGTTATTGTCTTCCCGTGACCTTCAGAGGCACATCCATAACTATAAGTACATCCATATAGGTTTAATTCAAATTGCTTTTAAACCTTTAACCTTGTTAGGTATGGATGCTTGTATTCAAGCAACCCTTAGGGATGCTCGATGTCTGAAATTTCACCCTTCCTTGATGGGTGCACTGGAAACCAGTCTATGTCATGGACCGGTTTATTTTAATGTCTATCCTAGTCTGAATTTATCTTTGACAGATAAAAATATCCATGAGTCAGTCAGTCTTAGGGTTCAGACCTATGGGTATGATTACTTACCTGGATCAGAAGTGATAAGTGTTATTTATCGCATCCATTACAAAGTACTTGATACTATGTGTCCCAATGCCATACGCAAAGACTCTAAAGGAGGAACAGCGTTATGGGATACCAACATATACACATCAAATGTTGCCACAAAAAGGATGATTCCTTGGAGTGAGAAAACATTTCCTGAACACTGGACGATTTCTAATGCCGTTCCAGCACCTAAAAAGCATTAACAGTAAGAAATTAATCGTTATTAGTATAGATTTTCTCTCTTATAAGAGTGTGAACAAATTTGATATTAAGAAAGTTTCATTATAAATACTTAACTTTCATTTCAAACTAACTCATCAAACTTTTTAATTCTTACTTTTCATTCCAAACCAACTTATCACGTAACTCTCTAAATACTTCCAATTGCTTCTAAAATATATTATCCCAAAATTTGGGATAATAAATTTTAGAAATTCTTAATGGGATGGATTTAGAAATTCTTAATGGGGTGGGTTAATATTTTTTTGAGCAGGTTAATATTAATAATAATTTTTTTTTTTAACTGGGCTAAAATTAGCTATGATTAAAATATATATATCTATATATATATATATATATATATATATATATATATATTTTTGGGGTGAATTTGAGCCCACCAAAGCATACACATATAGATTGCCCCCAAGCACAAAAAATCATATCCCTCCACCCATATATTCAAAAACTTGTGAAATAAGTTTAATTTTTGGAGGGCAACTTTTAAATTCATAGATTCAAAGTCGATGCTTTTTCAAAATCATGTATGTTTTTCGAAAGTCTAAGGTGGACATGGAGAAATCCCTAAAAAGAATTACTTTGGTAAGGCGAACAATCCACAATGACACTTGCCAAAGAACTTATGCCAGTTCTAATTACATACATTCACTTACGCTCTGTTTTCTCTGCAACAGTTTGAAGAAAATTTATCACTTCATACCAAAAAAGAGAAAAAGGAAACATGGAAAGCGTGTATTAAAATTCAGAATTAGATCAGAGATAAAAGAACAGTAATATTAATAAGTCATAGACTCATAAACCAAAAGCTTCAACCAACCCCTCCACAACCCCATAGAGGAGAAAGGAAACCTTTCTAAGAGCCACTTTCTAGTGTAACAAACACACAGGTTCACACCCAAATCCAACTCAATAATAAAAAATTAAAATGTTTAAAAATATCACACAAATTAATCAAAAATTAAAAGAAGATAAAAGAAGTGGAAAGCACAAAATAAAACAAGAACATCAAAATTTATTTAAAAAATCAAAAGGAAGAAGCAGATGTACATTCAAATTCAAAGAGAGTCAATCAATCAGCATTGAATGATGTGTGCTAATCACATATAAGAACTTCTTCAGTTCTAGAAGATTTTTCAGGAAACTTGGCTAGATGAAGGAAAAACTTGGGCAAAATTGAATAAGAGAACAAACTAATAAAGTGTAAGTCTCTCATAAATTCATAAGGTAGTTTATCACACAAAATTAACTTGCTGGACAGAACAAATGGTTGTTACCTACCACAGGCAAACTAAGAGAATTATATTTCTAATATTGAATGCTCATCAAATTTCTGTCTCTAGTCTAAAACTATACATTAGCTAACACACTCTTCCTAATGGCATCCATGTTCCTGACTAATATGAAACACTTCGATAATTTTCAGTATTATACATTCCCAGGACCAAAACGTTACAAAGAAATAGAATTAAGATTAGAAAGAATAACTCAAGTACCTTTCTCTTTAACCATCTTACGGATGTTCTTCTTTTGCACTTTAAAACATTCCAGCGCAAGTATAACTGAATCTCAGACGTCAGCTGGTGCCTTCCAGTTTGGTATGCAGGGTTCATGGTATCTTGTCATAAGAAGTCATTAGCAAAAGCAACCATTCATACTTTTCTACATGGGTCCATTAGATGAGAATGTGTTACGCAAAGTGATTATATGCAACGAGGATGCAAATACTGGAATCAGGAAAAAGGAAAGACAAAAGTAACTACTAAGTGTCCCACCAAAATGATAACTCAAAACATCGCAATGCAGTTGGATGGATGACACAGAATCTAGTCATGAGCAAAAGTAACCTGTTAAAGGGTCATCAAATGAGTTGAAAAGTAAAAATTTATGCAAGATGTATGTGGATGCTGGAATCAGGAAAAAGGTGGACAAGGAACTAGTTAGTGTTCCACCAAACTAGCTACTCATATACAGCATTTTAATATGATGAAAGACATAAAACCTGTCATATTATCTGCCCAATGCCTGCTTTTCGTGACTGAAAATTTCCGCTAAATTCATCAAGCTCAATCATATTTGGACTGTCTCACTACCATTGATAAATCATCATAACTATGCCTATTTTATGGATGCTCCAGAACAGAAAGAATGTTGACAAACTGAAACTTAAAAATAAATTCAAGAGTTTGAGAACTCCATTGGCAATTCAAACACGCCCAGCCAGCTCATCAACATAAAATGTTCAATTACAGAAATTTGGTGGCCACATAACCAGAGTAATTCCATCTTGGTCACCATAGTACTAAAGTCACAGAATCACCCCCAGAGTTACCATCACAAAATTTGCAAGATTTACAATTCCAAATGCTACTAGAACACAATACAAAATGGCGTCATTCTATTTGGCCATTGAAATACTTCCCATTAAAATGTCAAAACATACAATTTGAAGCATAAAAGCACAATGAGACGTGCTTTTAGTCACAGCAGAAAATCAGATGAACGGAGAACATGTGCAGTTTCTTGTTGCTTCAAAGACAAAATAGTAGTAGTTCTCTAGAAACTTCTCCTAAATCTACTTTTTCCTGTGCCAAACATTATATCAGATATTTGAAAAGGTTAAATAAGTGTATATACCTATTTATATATATATATATACTTCTCAAATTCTAAGGAAAAGATTTAGAAAAGTAACTATGGACATGGTGCCCCTGCTTTGACAAGACTCATACCCAGAACAGTAATATGTCATGATAACATGAGATGGAACATCAAATGTGGTGTTTTTGTAGTATCATGTCAGCAATGCCAAGGGACTTACACCAGGTGCTATTACAAATGTAAATTGAATCTGCTGAAGTTTAGAATACCAGCCTTAAAACATAAAAAGAAAATTGCTCAATTCAACTCAACAAAGCCTTTTCCCAACCGCTTGGGTTGGCAACATGAATATAATTACATTAAATGAACATAATTATATTAGTCTTTGTGGTTTGTAAAATGAGGAAGACAAAGTGACAAACCAGCTTGAAAAAGTTGACATATCGAAGGGAAGAGGAAATATTGTCATTGCAATAAATAGTTAATACACTTGTAGAAGTTAATACACTCGCATCTTTCACTAAAAAATACAATGCAGTATGGTTCAATCAACCATGATGACAAATGACTCATTTTCAGGGAAGAAGATATACAAGTCAAAGCAGCAGAACTGAACACTTCAATACGTGGCAAATTGGCAATAGATCAATCCAGTTACTGGTTAGGAAAACTAGGCTCAATTCTAAATTTTGGAACATGTTCTCAATTACAATGGCATAAAACACTGTTTTTGACCTCAGAATCTCATTTTCTCCTAGTTGATAATAAGAACACATTTTCAAAGCATATTAAGCACAATTTGGAGAATAAGTTATCTGAGCCATATCCATGGGATTGACAGAATGACCAGATCTTCAACTTATTATGCAAAGAAAGCATAGTACAGATGATCTCCAAAAGAGGCAATACAGCTATACAAATAGCATAAAATTAATTTGAAACCAGTAGAAAGAAACAACACAAAATATCCGTTACCGGATTCTCAGTATTCCTGCACAAGTAGCCCAGTTATGCGTGTACGTCTTAGTGCAGGTTCCTGTATGGATTATGACAGGAAAAAAAAAAAAAAAAAACAACGAAAAGAAAAAAAGAAGAAAGAAATTTACAGTGCCACCGCTTTATTAAACTTTGACGATTTAAAAAACTGAAATCATGAGAAACTGTGACCATAAATAATAAAAGGAGTCATCTTTAAACGCTAATCAGCTAATAAAAGAAACAGATATGGTAAAAGACTACTGCAAAATAAATGAAGGATTTTGTTATTCTCACTATACTAAAGTATATATAATCCTTACACTCAATGGTATGAGCTTGTATAAAAGACAATTATAATTCAAAGAAAAGTGACCAGGAAAGTCACTTCTCTGTAATAAAAATACTCCTGTATTCAAAGAAAAGTGACCAGGAAAGTCACTTCTCTGTAATAAAAATACTCCTGTATTGAATATCCTTCATATAGAATTGCAACCATATCATCACTACTTCTTAACCTTTCGAGTCTTCCTCGGGCCAGTCACTCCCATTCTGCCAACAGAACACCCACACCTTGCCCGAAACACAAGAACAGCTCTTCCATTAGGGGGTGCCATCTTCTTCAACTCGGCTTCTAGTTCTCTATGGTGGTAGAGAGGCAATTCAAACAAACCCTTTTTCACACAATCCTTGGCAGAATTATTTGAATTCTTCACAGAATCCTCTGTCTCAATCTGGATATCGAATTCGGCTGCCTGCCTTAGTCCACGACAATCTGGCTTCCCACATTTGGTACTTGTGCATACTGTCATTGCTGAAACAGCTATCACTGCACATAAAATGCTAAGTCCCAAACAACCATAAATAACGGGAGCACTCAAAACCTCCTGTTTCACCTCATACATGATTAATCCAACAGTCTCGACAATATTATGGAATACAAACTTTATATAGGGAAATAGTAAAAACCCACAAGCACCAATCACAGCAATTAGGATTACCACATCGATCACAGTAGATCGAGATCGGTGGCAAACAGGAACACTCGAGTGATTTTGCGAATTGGGTACCTTTTTATTCTTTTGTACTTGATTAATCTGCCTCAATTTCAAAGTAGGGTAAATTGAATTCACAGAATCAGCCATGTTTAAGTGCTGGTCAACCGAAATTGAGCTACGAAAAGACACCATTTTGTTTCAACCCAGAAATTAAAACCGATCTTTGAGAAAACCCAACAATCTAATCCAAAATCTAGATCACATCCACGAACTTATAATCAAATTTAGATCGACCAACCTTTGAAGAACCGGAAAACAGATTGGAGTTCGATTGCACCTGGGGAATCGAATTTTGTAGGTCGGCTACAGATATATCTGGTTCTCTCCAAGCCAAACTCAAATCTATAAATGATTTGGTCAAATTTAATTAAAGATTGAATAATAAAAAAAGATCGTAAATGTATAGAGAGATGTCTGTGAGAGAGAGTTTGGTCTTGGTTGGCCGGCTTGAGGGGTTTGATGTGCGATAGGAAAAGGATGAGTCATTAGTCATTCATTCATTCATATACAGCTTTTTATCACTCACCGTGTAAACCATCTCATCTAAATAGATTGTTTCAAAGCTTGAGAATGAAAAGTTTGAAAGAGAGAGAGAGAGGACAAGGAAAAGTCATGACTCATTATTATTCATTACGCGCACACAAACTGCTTTGCTTAAGCTCTCTCATCTAAATGGTTAGGTTAGACAGAGGGTCAAGAACGCCAAGCACAGAAGTGTTTGGAATTTTCGAGGCTCAAATGGAATGGGTTTCGTGGTTGTGGACTGGACTTCTTTCGTAATTCCATCTACTACTCAAATTTCAATTTTTTAGTAATGATGTTTTGCGGGATATGGCTTTCAATTAAGGTCATCAAAGGATTGGGCCTAATCTTGGCCCACATAATTCATGCTTGTCTCTCTTCTTCATTTTTCCTTTCTTTTCTTCTTTGCCAAATCCACCCTCAAATCCAGAAATTATGAGTAAATGATAGCCGGTTGAATCAAAATCAATAATTAGATTTCTTTGTAATATATATTAATATGCAGGTGCTCTACTGGTCGCGTATTATTTGGGGCATTTGGCCCGTGTTCAGAACCCACCAACATTATTTCTCCATTTCTTAACTCCTTTTTTTATTATTATTTTTAAAATGTAATATATTAAATTATTGCGGGTTGAATCAAAATCAATAATTAGATTTCTTTGTAATATATATATTAATATGTAGTTGTTGTGCCCAATGGTAGGGCACATATTATTTGGGGCCTCTGGCTAGAACCCACCAGCATCATTTTCTCATTTCTTAACTCCTTTTTTTTTTTTTTTTTTAAATATAATATATTAATATATTTATTCGATACTTCTGAAGTTCAGCGCGTCATTCTTGATTCAAGGGTTTGAGAGATTGACATCTGGTCCTCACTTGGAAGCTCACGCTTCCGAGGTTCATTTCTTTCCAGAGATGACTCTATGATTTCCAACATTATACTGGTTGATAGAGATAGAAAGATGTGACTCAAGATCCAGTTTCTCCGTGTCTACTATTTTTTTTTTTTTTTAATTAGATAATTTAGATTAGACCAAATTATCAAATGGTTGTTTTTTAATTAGATAATTTAGTAGTGTGGTAGGGCGTGTATTGTTTTGGACTTTTGACCCGTGTTCAGAACTCACCAGCATCATTTTCCCATTCCTTTACTCTCTCTCTCTCTCTTTTTAATTTAAAAAATGTAATATATTAATACACTTTTCTGAGTCCACTTTTTTCTTTTCTTTTTTTTAATTAGATAATTTAGATTGGACCAAATTATCAAGTGGATGGTCCAAAACCCACCAACATCATTTCCCCACTCCTTAATCTCAATTTTTTTTATTTTAAAAATGTAATATATTAATATACTTTTCTGAGTCCACTTTCTTTTTAATTAGATAATTTAGATTGGACCAAATTATCAAGTGAATGATCCAAGTTTACAAGAACATCTAATAATTTTTCATGTAGCCTATCTTTATTAATCTTTTCTTAATTTATTTAGACAGCTAACATTTCTTATTAAATATGATTTTTTGGGTTGTTTCTTTTATCTAGCATTGTGCATTGCTAGTCTTTCCCCACCACTATGTTTATCTTCTTATAACGTTTTTTGTAGAACTTGGTACAAATTATTCAACCCGGCCATTACCTACCCGAAAAAAACATTTTTCTACCATCACTAAGAGTAGAAGTCAATCAGCATGCAAAATGGTAATTGACAAACACAACCCTTTTTTTTTTTCTTTTTCTTTTTTCACTATTGACAAACACAATTGATTTGATAATTTTTACATTCAACTTAAAAATGTAATAAGTGATGAACTTTTGAAAAATGAAAATTTCAAAGCTACAGTGCATTGTTAGTCTCTCTCTCTCTCTCTCTCTCACACACACACACACACAAACACTTGTGAGAGAGGGGATACAGATACTGGCTTTTCACACGTTAGCAACTCTATTTAGAAAATTCTAACCAGCTAGTTGCATCACTGGTAGAAGGAAAAACTCATGGTCCAAGTAAAGCACCTTCCTTCTTATTGTCCGTACTATTTTCTTTTTTAATTTTTTGCTTAACTGCAAATTACAAGTGTAAAACTTTTTAAGTTCTTGCTTTTAATAATAAAACTGGAAAAGTTAAACTCATCACATAAACAGCAAAATCAGCTCATGTGTGGATACACCAAAATGACAATTAATAAGCGTTCCATTAGTTTTATAAATTGGGTGATGTGACCTATTGTTAGTTTTTTTTTTTTTTTTTTGGACCGGCCACTTGAGTTTTTATATATTTATTATTTTTATCTTGATTTTTTTTTTCCATTCTATTTTATAAACATGACATGTCTCCCTTTATATTTAATTTTAACAAACATATTTACTTAATCCCACATTGATTTTGATTAGATTTAGTGTCAATTACCTTTAATGAAAATTAATCTATGTTTTCTTTGCTTTTTTTTTTTTTTTGCTAATATATCAATGAATCTACGTTTTGTATCCATATCAAACCTAAGTTTACTTCTTCTTTTTTTATTTATTAATGGAGGTTATATATTCCTAACATCTACATCACTTTGCTTGATAAATCCAATGTTCTTGATTCTTTTTAAAATCCAACATTCTATTTCAAGTAAGATAGTTGATCCAATCATCGATTTATAATATAATATAATTTATGAATAATTTCAAAAAAATGGGGTTACGGTGGTCAAATACCAAAGTCAAAGTCAATATTTTCAAAAACATGAAATTTGTCTTGATTACAAAATTACCCCTCACCTCTCTTAGAAAATAACCATATTACCCTTTCACCAACTTTCCTAATTAACCAAAACCTGGATCCTGTTAGCCGGCGGAAGTCATCAGGTACCGACAATATCTTTCCCAAAGGATCCGCCGAATGTGGTATCAAGGTTTTCCGATTGTGGTGACGAGTTTTTTGGGAGTAATTTTCAAATAACATTTGATCCTCAAATTCAAAAGGATTTTCTTTAAATTCGAAGAAAATGGTATGTGTCTTTTGATTAGATATTAATTCTGAGGAAGAAATTGAAGCTCAGAAAAACAACTAAAACCGTGGCAGTGCCATGGAGTATGTCTTTTTGGATGGCAAAGATGGTGTGGGTGACGCTGAGTGTAACATTATTTATTAATTGTGTGGCTCACATGATTTGGACATATGATATATTTCATTAATTAGTGGTTAAGTAAATAAATATCAAATTAATATTATATTATTTGATTAACTTATCAATTACCTTTTTGGTAATTAATTATTGGAGAAGTATTTTTCTATTTATTTCTTACTTTAATGGAAAGTAGAATTAAATTTACTAAAAGAAAAACTAGTTCTCTCTCTATCTTTATAAAAGTACATATATCCCATCAATTATGTATGTTAATGAAATAACACGTATAATGTTTATGTGTATAAAAAGGCCAAGAGAGATAAATCAGTTTTCACGTTTTGTTTATTGTGCAGAGTTGCGGATTAGTTCATTGGTAAAAGATCTCAATATTGGACTTGATCTCAACAAGATTTGCTATCATGGATCGAGGTATTTATATCTAACCATATTTATTTATGCATTATAGATATGTGATCAAAACAAAGAAGTTCTAAGATCTTATGATTCATGTTTATTTGTGATTATTGCTTGACACGAATTTTTAAAGTTTACATGTGGTATCAGAGCTTATGATTTAGGAACTCATTAGTTTCCCACTAACGTTGCATAAATAATATTTTTAATTCAATCAGATTGTATGTGTGTGTGTGTATTCTATGCTGATTTCGTTGGTTCCATGATGAGGTTCATAAATAATATTTTTAATTCAATCAGATTGTATGTGTGTGTGTGTGTGTGTGTGTATTCTATGCTGATTTCGTTGGTTCCATGATGAGGTTAATGAGCGTGGCTTGTGTTAACGAAATTGAATTGCCTCAAGTATACATTATGTTTTGTTCATTTATTTTAATCGATTTCCGAGCCTGGAAGTTGATTACCATATATATATATGTGTATAATAAAACAAACATGATGCATGCCTTTTGATTCCGAGCATGACTAGAATAGCAATTAAAGTTGAAATAGTTGGTTTTTGCTTCTTGCGTAAATCGAGATGATGAATTTTAATGCTAGCTATTTTTTTTTTGGTACAAACTTATATAAGTATATACTTGTTATCATATATCATTAATTACACATATAAAAAGTTAACGGGGAATGATTATGTAAGTTAAGTTTGTGATTTGCATGATTAAATAGTTTTATAGATTTATTTATTTTATTAGAAATTTAATTTAATTTTATTAGACATGCAATTAAATTATTGTTTTGTATCCCTACATACATACATATTTGAGAATCAATTTTAAATTGATTCAATTATGATCTTCAAGTTCGAAAATAAAATAATATATTTTATTATGTATATAAAGTAAAATAATATTTTTATTAAATTTTCGGACTATTAAGTTCCTGGGATCGAACCTTCTTATACTTGGATCGATCAATATGAGTATGTGTATATAATGTTAAATGGGTAACTTACAGATGAATTAATCACTGTCTAATTTAATATTCATATTATGTAAAGATTGGTAGCTACCAAAGTGGCCCAATCATAATGATTGATGAATATTAATTTTTGTAGTAGACATAATTAATCATAAATTAGTTACTAGCTAATTTAATATTCATATTATGTAAAAGTTGGTAGCTACCAAAGTGGTCCAACCATAATAGTTTATAAATATTAATTTTAGTGGTAAACATAATTGCAATATTTCATGAATTATGATACTTATAATTTTTTATGATATTCATGAATATTGGGTTTATTTGACCATGAGAAATAATTCCTCAAAAGGAATTAATTTTCAACTGATTAAATAAAAATTAAGGGGTTGTATGCAATTTTTTTTTTTTTTTAATTAGACAGATATAGGATATCCAAATGTAACTTATTTGTTTAATTAAATAATGCATCACCAATGAAGATATACATATAAATACATGTAAGCATAATTATTAGTATTTTATAGTTGTCACCCAAAAGGTACTATAGTTATACATTGTATTTATATTTTTAAATTATACATACGTGTTGTTAACTGAAAGCATTATTGTTGTGAGTATTT